TAGAAAAGAAAGAACATATAAAACAGAAAGAGGAACAATATGTGGACACTAGACATGTAATCACGCGTTAAATGGGTCAGTAGTAGGTTAATGATAGCACCACACAGGAAAACTCACAAATAGTTCTTGTTATGACCACATCGATGAAGAAAAAGAAAATAATTTAGTAAGTATTATTGATAGCCTTTGATTGTCGCAGATACAAGCGGCAAATGTCAGATTAATCTTACTAATGACAAAAATTTCCATGATCCGGTGGGCCATCCTGGGCTTTGAAAGTAAACAGAGGCTGTCTTACTGGTCGTATCGATATTCCACCCTCCCGCAACGCTCATTTCGCTACCAACGGCAGCTGCAACGCGTCAGCAACACTTTCGACAAAAGAGGCGTCGTGTTGGATCGATCTGAGCCGGTTTGTGATGGAAAGGTCGGAGCGCTTGAGCTCTCCGAGAACGTGTCATTACCGACACCCCCAGAGCGAGAAAGACTGCTCATGGCTGAGAAGCTTTTGTCCTACCTTTCAGCCATCACACTTGAGGGGCAGATCACGCCAACAGGCTCGTCCATGTCCATTTTCCCCTTGTCACCTCGCTTCTCACGCATCCTGTTGGTTGGACACCTTCACGGCTGCCTGCCATATACCATTGCTCTGGTTGCCGCCCTGTCTGCTGGTGAGATTTTCATCAACGAACACCAAGCCATTCCAGCATTAGAGGAGAGCACCGAAGACTTCCGTACCAATGAAGAGGTGGTCGCCGAGGAAAAGCGAGCGAGAGTTCGTCAAGCATATAATGCTGTCCACAAGAACTTTTGCTACCTCGACGACAAGAGTGACGCCATCAAGCTGCTCCAGGTCGTAGGAGAGTTTGCCCATGAGCCCACAGAAGCCTGGTGCGAAAGCCACTTTGTGCGGTTCAAGATCCTAAAGGAAATTCGGCAGCTGCAATTCCAGATCGCGGATCTCCTGAGGACCAACATTCCACAACACGCCAATTTCAAGCTTGAGGAGAAACTGGACCCTCCTTCTGCTACACAGGTCCAAGCTCTCAAGCAGATGATTGCCGCAGGCTTCATTGATCAAGTCGCCATCAGGGCTGACAAGGCTCCCAACCCGCCTGAGACGTACAGGAAACCACGTCGTGCGATCGATGTTCCATACATCCCTCTCATCCCGCTTGAGGGTGATCAAAAGGTTGAGGATCCTCTTGACAGGCTGGTATACATACATCCAACTTCCCCTCTTGCTCATCTCAGCACCGCCGAATGCCCCGAGTACATCTGCTATGCCTACCTCCAGAAGGCTGGCAACACAGGCGCAGACGGTGAGAAGAAGGTCAAGACGAGGATGCATGCTTTGACGGACTTGACAGCAGGCCAGATCGCTTCTCTAGCCAAGGGTACGCCACTTCTCACGTATGGCAAGCCCATCAAAGAGGTCAAGGGCTCTGAAAGTGCCGATGGCAAGACGAAGGAGGTCTGGGTGATCCCATATCTTCGGGCTGAGGGCGGCGCTGGAGGGCTGGGATGGCCATTGCCAGCAAGAAGAGTGACACAACGCAAGGTTCCTGGGAAGGGTTGGATTGTTGAGTAATAATGACTTATGATACACTTATATAGCGATAGGATAACTCTTAATTTGAGATGGTATTTGTTGTCATCCGCGGTCCCCCGCTGGAAGTCGTGTTGGAGGTAAGTTTTGATTCCTTTCTTCTCTCGTTTTTGGCTGGCTGGCTGGCGGCAAGGAGTTCACTTGCGCTGTTGGTTATGCTATTGCTCTATGATGCATTTCTCGAAAGAGGCTGTTTATGAAATCTTTTGATGATTACACTTAACACCATACATTGTTCTATTTCTGAGGCTACTCAAACCCTTTATTCTTTCTTCGGCATTGGCGTTGGGCAGGTTGGCTAACTGGGCGATAGTTGATATGGAGTTTGCAATGTTTGGGCTGTTTATTAAAGTAAGTATCCATAGTACAATCTTCCTTCATCCCGCCTGCCATGATGTACTTCTCTCACGAGGCTGTTTATGAAATCTTTTTAATGATTGCATTTATCACCTATACATTGTTCTATTTCTGATTACACCATCAACTGCCAACTCATCTGCTTCTGCCTAACCTGGAACACATTGGCTAACCTGGAGTAGTCTGAGGAGATACCTACGAGTTGAACGTCTCTCGTGTTTCAGCCACGAGTTCATTTGCTGGTTCTTTGGTACGTAACAATCCTTCTTCGATTCTTCACACTGTCACCATGATGCATTTCTCTTACGAGGCTGTTTATGAGATCTTTTTTGATGATTTACATACACCTATACATTGTTCTATTTCTGATCGGACACACTCGAAACACTTTTCTCTTTTCATGCGCTTCACTGCACAGTGACTAACCTGTCAACAGTAACACAGCCCGTCTCTTGACCATGACCACTGAGGTCCACCACCTTCTCGTCCGCCATAGTATGTCACACTCCCCGACACACACTCTTTTTTACTGGTCCACATGATGCATATTCTCTCACGAGGCTGTTTATGAGTAATTTACCATGATTACATTCATCACCTATACATTGTTCTATTTCTGATCATGACACTATTTACTTCCTCCTTTTCTACTCTGATTCGAGTCTGGGCCAAGCTAACACGATTCGAGGAACTGCTCATTCGGCCGAGTCATCAACTCAACGATAATCAACTGGGGTATATCCTTAACAATGGTACGTTTCTTTCATCTTCTGCTGCCCCCATCTCCACTATGATGAATTACTCGAAAGAGGCTGTTTATGAGTTATGTCTTACCATGATTATAACCACATCACCTACATTGTTCTATTCCTGACACCCCATCTTCCCCTTGCATTCACCTCATTTCATCACTCTGGTCTGTCTGTGTTCCTAACACTTGCCCAGTATCTCGTCAGATAGACATTGTGTATTCCACACGGTCAACTCAATAGCTCCCCCCCAGCAAAGGTACGTTCCCACCCCCCCGCGGTTTTAACTTTGGTCAAATGATGAATTCTCGCAAGAGAGGCTGTTTATGAGTTATATCTACCATGATTATAACCAATCACCTACATTGTTCTTTTTCTGAATGACCACTCCGCATATTTCCAGCTGTTACTCTATTTCAAATATCGCAACTTTTGGATAATGGTGCTAACTGCCTAGCGTCAGAATACAATATGGGTATCATTGCGAGGGAAAATAACTAGATTATATGAGTACCATTTTCTTCCACAGTATTGTTCTTTGCCTATATTTTGTGGTTCTTGTGTCTGTTGTTTTACGATGCTGGTCTCTGCTCTGCCCGATAGTTAGAAGGGGAAAGATGTGGACTGTTATCTGAAAGATTAGCCCGAGAAGTGTCGACATGTTGCTTTGCTTCGCAGTCTAAAGTTTCTCAAGATAGCAAAAGGTCCTGGCACCGGACCTGGCCAGTCAGGAAAGAATAGAATGCTCCGCCTCGGAAGGTGTAAGTGATCTTCGTCGTCTCCAAAGTGCTCAGTTTTTGTCTTCCTCCAACCTCTCTTCTCCAGCCCCATCTTGGTTTTCTTGATTCCCCCAAACTGGGCCGTGAAGGAGGTACCTATCCAAAGAAAACACTGTCATACTGGAGGACGAG